CCCCCGCCCCGACACCCCCTTCTGGCCTCGGGTCATATTGCTGTCTAGCCACCATGTCCCTGTCCTGTGCCGGTACCGCCGCTAGATGGCGCGAGAGAGGCCTGGGACGTCGGTCCCTAACGGATCATTTGGCTGCCCAGGTAGGGGGAGAACAGGATCAAACTGGGTAGGGGAAACTGTGCTCCCCAGCCCTAGAGGACCCCGAAGAAGGTCCGGGCGATGGAGCCCAGCGCTTCAGAGAAAAGTGGTCGCAACGGACTAAGCGCCGCCCGTGACCCGCCGTGCGCGCTGCAGAAGGACGCCAGGGGGCGCTGGAGCGGCGTTGGGGGCGAGGTGGCCCCGGCCTTGACTAGGCGCCTCGGAAGCCTGAGGTCCGGTCGGACCCATGGGACATCAGGGTTCCTCCGGGACCCGCGGGGGGAAAAGCCGGAGCGCTGTACGCTACTTAGTGGCCGCGTATCAAAGGCAAGTGACGGGACGTCTCTGTGTCCCGGCTCCTCTTCTGTGAAATGGGGTCGCTACTGGTACCCATCCCAGAGAAGGTGTGCGGAGGGTTAATGAAAAGACACACAGTGGCTGGTATTTTTGTACACCTGTCCTAAAAGCAGCCCACTACTCAACCAGCATCCAACACGGTTGCCTTCCTGGAAGTTATCTCGATTAGACTTGCTATAGTCCATTCTCAGTTTGTCCCAAATCCGGAATGGAATGCCACTCACCCCTACCCCCAACCCCCTGTGACTGAGAAGGCAGGACTGGTACCCAGGCAGAACAGTTGATGCACAAATCTTACTAGAATTCAAAATCAACAGCATTTGACAGTACTCTTGAGAGAAGGAATGCCAGCCCCTCCTGCACAGCTGGGAGTGCTGACAAAATCCAGTCTGCCCAGCACATCTTACTCAGGTCCCAGTTGGAGGAGATGGCTGGTGGCAGCCGAGAAGAGTGAGGGGATGGGTGGGGGAGGGGCCTGGGCTCTGTGTTGGCAGTTGCCATGGTTTTGCTCCGAGTTCAGCCCACTCTCTGAGACACTCAGAAGGTCACAGAAGCCTGAGGGGACTTCAGGAGTGCCACCCTGGAGCCTGCTGGCACTCCTGTGCAGATGGAGGCCTCAGATGGACCAGGGGGTGAAGGAGACAAGCCACTAGAGAAGGTGAACTGAGGTTGCCCACGTGAGAGAGCCAGAAAGGAGGCTCCTGTCCTATGGGACTGGTTTTGGAAAGCAGAGAACATGAAGTTGAAGGAAAAATGATGGGGTACATGAATTAGCAAGAGGCTCAAAGAACAAGAGAACATAATTCATCCTAGCAAATGAGCTGGGAGTGTAGCTCTGTGACTGGGCATGTGCCTAGCATGTAAGGACCTGGGTTTGATCAGCACCTCAAGGGGGAAAAAAGAGTAAGAGAAGAGAGAGAGAAAGAGATGACTAACAGATGTTTATCAAAGACATGTGTTCCTGGCAGGATGATGGGAAGAGGGTCCCATAACATTTTTAGTTATGAAGGCCCAGGGCACATGCACATGGATGTCTAAGTGGTGCGCATACACATGTGTTACGGTCTGTGTGTGGTTGTGTGGTGGTTGTGGCTCTGTTGATAGATTAGCCAGAGTCCTCTCTATGGCCTGGAGGACCCTGTCCCATCCCCTATTCAATCACCTCCGTACCTGCCCCTTGGTCTCCCTTTAGAGTGGTTTGGGTGCAGAAAAAAGGCAGGAATGAACACTCATTTTTCTGAGAGGCTTTTGAAATGGGTGCAAATCCAGTCACATCAGTCTAACCCTGTGCTCTGACTTGTAGAATTCACAGTCACTTCATGTCCACTAATTGTCACTCTCTTTGCTCCAACTTTTTGCTATCAAAAGACTCTTGTAGTCACTGTCACCCTTTTTTTCCTGAGTGCCCTTCAGATGTATGCCATGATGCTAAAACTTAGAGATGTAAAGACAGGGCCTGAAACTTAGGCAATCAATAAATTTTTGTTGAATGAAAGAATAAACAAGCCCCTCCCTGCTCATTCTCCCAAGAAGTCAGGGAAATTTTTTGATACCCCATATAACCAGGAATAATGGTATCTAACCTTCCAGAATATGTAGTTGAAGAAAATGAGTTAATGTTTATCAAGTACTTTGCAAAGTCACCTAGTGTAACATACTAGGATTATTATAAAAGAAGTAGGTACAATATTCTAGGGGTGTGTGTGTGTGTGTGTGTGTTACTGGGGATTGAACTCATCAGGGCCTTGTACCTGAACTCTGCCACTTGAGCCACATCCTCTTTTTTTGCTTTAGTTTATTTTTCAGATAAGATTTCATCTTTTAGCCTGGGGCCAGCCTTGGACTGAGGTCTTCCACCCCACACCCTGCCACACACTCCAGGTTTTCTAAGCAAAGTTTTTCAGAGATGACTTTCTTTGCCCAGGCTCACTCACATCATGACTGGGGCAAGAAGGAGTCACAGTGACTCTTTCAAAGGAGAGGGGCTTTGGCTTCCACTTGGGCAAGTGCTTGCCCAGCACGTCCCCTCAGGAACAGTGGCCCAAGCCCTTCAGCTGACTGTCTCCTCCCAGGTGACCAATGTGTCCTGCTTAGAGAGGAGCTCCAGCACCATTCCCGCCGGAGACTCACTCGTCTGCCATGCCAAGGGCCTGGACCAGGACACCTTCAAAATTGTGAGTAAGGGGCCAGACTGGAACCCTGTCCCCTGTTTCCCTGTGAGAAATAGATCCACAGCTCCTTTCCCCACATGTCACACTCTTGGGATACAAGTGGGATGAGAGGTCCCTAGGAGCCTCCTGGCTAAACTCACACAGCCTTTCCTGAGCCAGTAAGGGCTGCAGCCAGGCCAGTCTGCTAGTCACTCAGGGCTGCCCATCTGCCTCCTCTTTCCCCTCACTGCCCCTCACCTTGCCTATTGCCTCCTCAGTGTAAAGAATGCTTAAGGCCACTGAAGAAGTTCCTGCGAAAGTTACACCTGCCCAAAGACCTTCCCCAGAAGAAGAGGCTGAAGTACATGAAGCAGAGCCTTGTGGTCCTAGGGGACCACATCAACACCTTTCTGCAGGATTACTGCCAAGCCTGGGAAATCAAATACTGGAAGAAGTAGGATGGCCTCCTTGCCTTTCCCCCACACCTGCTCCTGGGCCACCCATCTCTAGTCAAGGTCACACCTTAGTCAAGATCTCCTAGTCTTGACGTGTGTCTGTGGCTCACACCTGTAATCCTAGCTACTCAGAAGGCAGGGATCAGGAGGATCACATTTCAAAGCCAGCCCAGGCAAATACTTTGTGAGACCCTACCTCAAAAAACCCTTTACTAAAAAAGGCTGGCAGGTGGCTCAAGGTGACAGTCCTGAGTTCAAACCATAGTACTGCAAAAAAAAAAGATCCCCAGTCTTTCATCTTTATGAGGAGGACTCAGGATCCTGGAGGGGACTAGAGTTGAGTCAACCACTGTGCACAGGTGTTCGTCACCAGCACATGACATTCCACCTCCCAACCTCTCCACCAGAACCAAGGAAAAAACAGGTGGCCCGTTTCTCCCTGGGTGAGTCCTGGTCACCAGACAAAGGCCAAGCGAGAAAGGACCCTCAGCCGGGTCTCTCCCTGCAGGATGCTCTGGCGATTCGTGTCCCTCTTCTCAGAACTGGAAACAAAGCAGCTTCGCCAGCTCTACAAGTACACCAAGACTAACCAGACAGCCGAGTTCCTGGTGAGCTTTAGGAAGAGCTGCTCTAGGGCCCAGCTGAGGGCTGGTCCTTGTGCTCTTAGTTCATGTGGGGAGGCCTGGGACTTTGTAGCCCTCTAATACAGCCTGGCCCCTCTGGTCCTTCCCAAAGCTCTGCCTGAGGAAGACCCTACTGCTCCCACCTTTCCTTGCACTGGCACAGAGGAGAGCTGACCACAGCAGAGACTCAGTACCAACTTCTTGACATTTATTCATCCTGATGATAGTAGGGGCAGGAACATTCCTGAGGAGCCATGGGTGAGAATGGTTGAGACAGGCCAGTTTAGGGAAGTCTTCAGGGCCTGTCAACAGAACCTGACCTGGCTTTGTCCAGAAATAGCGGTTCCCAAACACTCTGGCCTCAGGACATATTTACTCTCTTGAAAATCATTGAGAAGCCCAAAGGGCATTTATTTATGTGGGTTATCTCTATTAATATTTATTCTATTAGCCAAACAGTGGTGGTACACACCTGCAATCCCAGCACTCAAGAAGTGAAGGCAGGAGGATAGAGAGTTTAAACCCATCTTGTCTACATAGATCCTGTCTCAGAAAACAAAACCAAATAAAAAAATATATCCTTGAAGCAATTATAGCTAAAGAAAAAAAAATTTAAATATGTATTTACTAACTTGTTTGAAAATTAAAACAAGGAGCCCAGGCTAACACATGTCTTTCTAATGAAAAATAACTTTTCCAAAACAAAAATAATTCAGAAGGGTAGTAGTGTTTTATTTTTTTGCAAATCTCTTTAGCTTAACAGAAGGCAGTGGATTCTCAGATGTACTTCTAGAGTCTCTTATGACATACTAATTTGGTTGAAGTACATGAAGAAAACCCAACCTCATACAGGAGCCCTCTTAGAAAGGAGGGAACAATTTTACTAGTTTTTCCAGATACTTGTGGCTATTGTCCTTGGCCACCAGACCAAAACTAAACAAGTGGCAATTTCCTAATTGCAATGTGCAATCTGAACCATATCAATGAACTCTGTTGAATTTAGACATTTCTTTTTGGTGGTACTGGAGTTTGAACTCAGGGCCTTGTGCTTGCTAGGCAGGCGCTCTACTGTTTGAGCCACACCCCCAGCCCTTCACTAGATTTTTTAAAAAAGCACTTTTAGGTTTACAGGAATATTGAGTGGAAAACAGTTTCCCATACATTCCTCCTCTGTACTTCCCCATGTATTAGTGACTTCCATTACAGTGGCCCATTTGTTGTAACTGATGAGCAAATACTGATATATTATTATTAGCTAAAGCCTATAGTTTACAGGTTTATTATTTATTTATTATTTATTATTAGCTTATTATTACAGTTTATTGTCTTTGTGGTGTTCATTCTATAGCGGTTTGAGGGTTGTGTGTGTGTGTGTTTGTTTGTTTTAACAGAGTCATGCTGTGATGAATCCAGGCTAGCCTCAAACTTGTGATCCTCCTGCCTCATTTTTCCGAGTGCTGGGATTACAAGTATGCACCAGCACATGGGCTCATTGTATCAGTTTTGACAAGTGTATGATGACATGTACCCATTATAATACCATACAGAATAGTTAACACTGCCCTAAAGATCCTCAGTGCTCCCTTCCTTCCTCCCTGCCAGCAAGTTCCTAGGAAACACTGTTCTTTTTACTGTCTTCATAGTTTTATTTTCCAGAATGTCACATAGCTGGAATTGGAATGATATAGTCCAGAGCGCATTTTTGGATTTGTATCAATGATAGTTTTGTTTTTATTTTTTTTTTAAGACAGAGTTTCACCTTATAGTTTAGGCTGGCCTGGAACTCATGATCCTCCTGCCTCTGAAGGAGGTAAGATAACTTGACACAGGGAGGACTGTGCTGGGATTACAGGCATGTATCACCACTCCTGACCATCAATGAGCTTTGCAGACTAGATTTCATTAGAATCCACTGGTCTGCCTTTTGCACTTGAATAGTTCCCAGAGGTTTTCAGAGCATGCTTTGAGAATCATTGGTCCAAAATAATAATAATCATAGATAACAGATGTAAAAGCCTTCCTTGTGTCAGATACTTTGTATTCCTTCAAATGATCTTCTAAAGCAACTCAAGCGCTGGTGATGTAGCTCAGTGGTAGAGCACTAGCAGGACATACACAAGGTCCTTTGTTTAATCCCCAGTATTGCAAAGAGAAAAGGAAATACAATAAATTTAGCAGCAAATCCTGGAAAAGAAATGTAACCCTAAGAGACTATTTGAATGATTGTTTGCAGTTTGTAAATGAAAATCTCAAGTGCAGGGAGGTGAAGTAACTTGTCACAGGCCACACAGCAAGTGGGAAGAAAAAGCCAGGGTGAAAATCCTGTTCCAACCAGCCACACCCTCCACACCACCACTCTAGCTGTGCAGCTTTGACCAAACCCTCTCCTTGTCTGTCTTTGCTTCTTCCTCTGAGCATGAATGATTGGTTAACTTCATGATTCCTTTTCTTTCCTTTTTTTTCAGTGCTGGAAGTCAAACTCAGGGCCCTTTGCATGCTAGGCAAGTGCTCAACCACTCAGCTACATCTCTAGTCCCATCTTTTCTTTTTTAAGAGTGGGTGAGGGGTCTCCCTATGTTGTCCCAGTTGGCCATGAACTCCTAGGCTCCAGAGAACCTTCTGCCACAACTAGTTAGCTGAGATTATAAACCTATACCTCTGTGCCCTGCTCTAATGATTCCTTTTCTGAATATGGGAGTTGCCAAATATCTTCAAAAAATATCTCCAGGATCTCCACTTAAATTTTCCTTTGGAACTTTAAAACAGCTATCATTGTTTCATTACAAACAACAACAACAAAAACAACTTTTCAGGCACCACTGACTTATGCCTGTAATCCTAGCTACTCAGGAGGCAGAGATCAGGAGGATAGAGGTTCAAAACCATCCCAGGCAAATAGTTTGTGAGACCCTATCTTGAAAATACGCATCACAAAAAGGGCTGGTGGAGTGGCTCAAGGTGTCAGCACTGAGTTCAAGCTCCAGTACTGCAAATAAATAAATAAATAACAAAGCATGACCTGGCTGGGGGTGTAGCTCAGTTGTAGAACACCTGTCTAGCATGCATGAGGCCCTGGCTCAATTCCTCACATCACAAACAATAATAGTACTAGTAGTAATAATAATAACAATAATAGTATAAGGGACAACCCTAGAAGAGGCAGTTGCCAAGTTGCCAGCCTGGCTTCAACATTCCCAAGTTCTTTCTCTTCCACACCTGTTAACCTCACCCCATCCTTTTAGCTAGGCAAGTGTGAGGTACAGCCAGACTCAGTAGTTTCTTAAGTACAGAGCTGGCCCTGTAGAATTCAGGTTCCTTTGTCCTCAGCACTGCGGCCCCATTGCAGGTGGCGTTCTGCCCCTTGGACTCTTCAGAGAGATCCTTGCTGGCCGACCTGGAGGACAGTCTGCCCAAACTCTGCAATGCCTGGGGTCTACACAGCAACATCAGCGGCATGAAGGAGAGGCTGTCCAAGATGCAGGATCCTGGCCGAGAGGCCGCCATGCTGGGGGAGCCAGGGTCCCCAAACAGGAGAGGTAATGCTCACTTGATGGTGGGGGTGACGGGTTGGGAGTAGACTCTGGGGGTTTCCCTGGAGCAAAGTTGAGCAGCCAGGAGCCTCTGGCCCAAACCTTTCCCTCATTTCCACCTTTTCTTCCTCCTGCATTTTCATTTCTGTTGTTCTTCCCTTCCCTTCTCCACAGTCTCTATTCTATTTTTAGCTCCTCCCTATGGTCATTATAGAACATTTCAAATGTACAGCTCAGTGCAAAAAAAAAGGAGAAAAAGATTACCCATCACCCAGAGGCTACCACTGTGAACATTTAGTGTGTTTCCTTCAGTGTTCAGTATAATTTCTCCCCAGGAGAGTCTCCTAGTGTAGACAGTTTTGAATCCTGCATTTTTCAGTTAATGTTTAAATAAAGGCATGTTTCCCTATAACTGGAAGCAGGGTGGTGGTGGTTTCTAAGTGGCTATGACTGTGGACTCCCAGGAAGTATCCATGTAGCAGCAGTGGGATGCCCACTATCAGGTGGGGTACAGTGGGGTGCATGGAAGAGCAGGGACTCATCCTTACAGTGAGCCTGATGGTGTGGGAATGGTCTTCCCAGCCACTTTGGCCTCTGTGATGACCTCAGTGTCTGGCAATCTACACAGAGGCTGGGGGTTAAGAGAGGACTGAGCCTCGTTAGTGACAGGGGCCCCAGCCAAGGTGGGAACCCATGAAGGCCCCTCCTGTGCACTGAGGCACAGGGAGACGTTGAACCCATCCACCTCTCACTCTTCTGGAACTGGCTTGTAAGCCACAGTTAGATGTCCTTACTGGGCTATTGCTGGGAAAGATAGAGGCAAACAAGATGGCTTGAGGACCTAGAGTGTGGTTCTAAGATGGACCCTTTGAGGGCCTGGCTAGTTGGAGCTAATGCGGAGCAGAAGGCCTCTGGTGGCCTCAGGAGCAGCTCCTCACCAGTCCCACCTGGATCCAGGGAGTGAGCAGAAGTGAAAACAGGTCAATGGCAGTAGGCCTGGGGTGCATGGTTAGTGAGGGCCCCTGTGTGGCCCTGGTGCCTACAGTTTAAATTGAGGAAGTAAATCATACAATGGGACTTCAAAGAATGAAGGCTGGGCCATAACTAAGATGCTCTTGGAAGAAAAGAGGAAAGATGCTGTCAACCGGTGGTCCCTGAACTAGATGAGGAAAGTGAACTCTGGTGTTCTGGGCCTGCCTAGCTCTGTGATAGGTGCTTTGTATCTTTGCTGCAGTGACCCCTGTAGCATCCCAAAGAGGTAGGTGGGGATTGTTGTCCCCCTTGTAAATGAAAGAGGAGCTCTGTATGTTAGTTAGGACAGGCTGACTGCAAGAGGTAGGTTTGGGACAAGCTTTAAAGAAAGGGATAGGGAGATAGGTGGAGGAGGGCAGAGGAGAGTGGGAAGAAAGAGGTGCCGAGGGGGGGCAATGAGCAGACAGTCTGGGCCTGGCAGTGGATGGAAGAAATGAAAGACTGGAGTGGAGAAAGGCAGTGCAGGGGTGTAATAGAGAAAAGCCTCAGAGAGTGGGCTGAGGAGTTTGGTTTTCATGCAAAAAACCAAAAATTATTTTTGGTGGTACTGGGGTTTGAACTCAGACACTTGGGTGTGCTAGACAGGCACTCTACCACTTGAGCTATGCCTCCAGGCCTCAATTCCATTTTTTTAGTACTGCCCAAGGTCTTATCCTCATGCATGCTAGGCAAGCACTCTACCACTGACCTGTATTCCCAGCCCTTTCAAGCCAGGAATATATTTTTACTATTTTTTTAAGCTATTATAAACATAGAAAATAAAATGCGGATAAAAAAATAGGAAAATATAAGCATCACCTTGTCATCAGTTCTCAGATCTTATCAAATAAATATGTATTTTAATCCAAATGAGACTGCTGTATATGCATTGAAACAGCATTTCTGGATTTCTTGTTATTGATGATGATACTGAATCATAGCAAGAATTTTTTTTTTTTTAATGGTACTTGGGTTTGAACTTAGGGCCTTTAACTACCACTCAAGCCATGGCCACATTTCTGTTGTTGTTGTTCAAGCCCAGGATGTCCTTGAACTTTCAATCCTCCTGCCTCAGCCTCCCAAGTGCTGGAATTTGTATATGCAATGTTGATTTGAATTTCTTTTTAAAAGTAATGGTATCAGCCTTTCCAGGTCAACATTTTTATTTCACCTAATCAACGGAGATAATTGTTGCAGTGGTTTCTCAACCATGCATTTCACCTGGTTATGTCTGAACTCTTTTCACTTAACAAAGTCGTCCCCTTTTTCTACACCCCTGATTTGTTGGAGAGATCAGACTATTGCTCCACAGAATGTTCCACTTTCAGATTTTTTTTGTTGTTGTTTCCTTTTCACATCTTTTAGCTTGTTTCTCTAGCTCTAAACAGAACTTTAGATTCAAAGTCTTGATGAATTAAACTTTTTTTTTGTAGTATTGGAGATTGAACTCAGGTATAAACCAATGAGCTACATCCCCAGCTCCTTTTTAGTTTTTTGCTAGGATACATTAGAGATAAGGTTGTGTCCTTCCAATTGCTACATTAGAAAGTACATAATACCTGGTGGATACACCATTTGCAGGCTAAGACTCAACCCTGCAATTAAAAGACTGTGTGATTGGGCGCTGGTGGCTCACTCCTGTAATCCTAGCTACCAGGAGGCAGAGATCAGGAGGATTGTGGTTTGAAGCCAGCTTGGGCAAATAGTTTGAGATACGCTGTCTTGAAAAATCCCATCACAAAAATAGGACTGATGGAGTGGCTCAAGGTGTAGGCCCTGAGTTTAAGCTCCAGTACCACAAATAAATAAATAAATAAATAAATAAATAAATAAAAGTAACTGTGTGTCTTTTCTTGGGCATTATGTTCATGAGTCAGGTTTTTGTTTGGTTTTTGGCAGCACTGAGGTTTGAACTCAGGGCCTCATACTTGCTAGGCAGGTGCTCTACCACATGAGCAACTCTGCAAGTCTTCTTTTGTGATGAGTATTTTCGAGATAGGCTCTCATGAGCTATTTGCCTGGGCTGGTTTTGAACTGCGATCCTCCTGATCTCTGCCTCCTGAGTAGCTAGGATTACAGGCATGAGCCACCAGCACCCTGCTGGGTGAGGCTCTTTACAAGGGTGATGTCATCCCTTTACCTCATAGGGTTTCGTTGAGGAAAGGGTAAAGGACATAGCCAGAAGTACAGTAAGATATTATTATTCTTCCTCTCTGCCCTCTCCACACTCCCTCTCTGTTACTGCGATTCCTTACTATTTGTAATGGCATGGGGACCTTCTCTCTTTCAGATTCTTTGAGGAAACTTCCTCAAAAACCAAAACTCAAGAGGAAGAGAATTAAGGAAGCCCCAGAAACTCGAGAGTGCCCCATAAAAAGACCCACTGGGACAGAGGGTCAGCTCACGCTGGCTCCCTGAGCACTTGCGCACTTTCAATATATCAGCTCCTGGAGGGATGGGGACCAAAGAGAGGAAAGAAGAAAATTATCCTCAGCAAAGGGATGCTCAGGTCTTAATTATGAATAAATGGGGGTGGGAAATAAACATTGTTAAGGCAGTCCTACTTTACTTGGCTAATAGTCATCATTCCTTCATCTTTATCTGTGGCTGGTGCCTCACCTATGCACAGATGAATAGGATGTGGTCGCTTGTGTCGAGGACCATCAGAGTCCAGAGCGGAGACAGACTTGTGGGTAGACATTACAGTGGCATGAATGCAGTGAGTGGGACTGGCCTGAGGGAGGTGACGAAGAACTTGATGGGTTGTCAGCCATGGGAGAGCACAGGAGAGGAGAGTGATCTGGGCTTCATCCTGTCCAGTGGAATGAACTGGTGTCACTTGGATATTGGGGAGGTTCTCTGACGTCTGTGAGTAATGTGGAAATGATGGATGCTAGAAACAGGAGACCAAAGAAGAATCATCAGAAGTCTTAGCTAGAATGGGGGTTCCAAACCAGTGGTCAAAATTTGGCAGCCTATCAATGTGTTTGCTTTCCCTGATGTATTCTACTTGTTGCTTGAGACATTAAAAAATATTAGTGGCCAATATTAAAACTTGTTTTTCTCACATTAAAGACATCATCAGATTAAAGACATCATCAGATTTTTGGCTTCTCATGGTTTCCCATGTGACAACAACTGGCTGTGGCTGAGGAGCTGTTAGGTGGACTTCATTGATACGCTTCCCAGTTTACTGCAGTCTGCTCCCCTCCCAGTGGCCTTACACACTAGCCTTCTTCACTCATTTGGATTACCTGTGCAACCCTTGGGAAACTGCTGTCTCCAGGGTGTACAAAGGCAAGGAAGGTATGCAGAAAAGAATTACACATTTATGAGATTAAATAATGTAATTTTTTTTTTTACTTTCTTTGTAGTGCTGGGGATCAAACTCAGGACCTCACACATGCTAGGCAAACCTCTATCACTGAGCTATACCCCTTCAGCTGTTAATTGATGGGTTTTGAGAATGGATGTGGGAGGGAGGAAAGTCAAAGTGGTACATAGCGTCTACTTACAGAGGGGAAGGAGGCCCAATCATTTCCTCCAAACATGGGAGACAGGTTAACTAGAGATCCACGGGAAACAGCAGCCTATGAAGCTCAGTGCTGCCCTGGAGCAAGCAGGTTAGGCAGTTTAGGGTCATGGCAAATGTGTGACCCTTTCTCCTCTCCTCCTCTCTCAATTCCAGAAGTGAGTATTATTCTAGACTTAAAATGTAAAAATGAGCATCAATCTACTCCAAACAGAAAAATGTGAATAGGGAAAGAGGGCAGGGCACGGGGAAACAGCTCCATCTCTTCTTTCCTTTTATCCATTGCTTCCTAGCTAGATGTGGTAAGAAGACACTGCCGAGAGGCACAGACCTAGTCAGCCTTGCTGGCCTAGTTCCCACAGTTTTGTCAAAGCAAGGAGGCCTTGGGAGAAAAGGGCAGGCAGGCTAGAGGGAGTGCACCATGATTAGGGGCTTCCCAATTTCTCCTACTCCTGAAAGAGTTCACTAAATCCCAGGGAAAGAGTTGGTTGCTTTGGGAATAGCCCAAAATAGAGCGTTGTGCCCTCTATGCGAGACAGCACTGCCACCTAGAGGGATTATGGGATAGTACAAGTGCCTTCTTCCAAACAAGGTTGGAGCTTCAGATGAGCCTTGGGAACAGCCAGCAGGCCTAAAGGCCTAAGGGTGAGGCTGGTTTTGAAGCCTCTTTACTTTTTCCTCCAATTCAGTAGGATCTTACAATTTCTAAAAGCAGATCACACGTTGTTGTTCTGCTCAGAGCTCTCTAGCAGCTCTTCATTTCATCCAAAGTCAAAGTCGAAGTCATTGCAAGGGCCTACCAGGCCCTCAAAGATCTACCCCCACCCTCCATTTTGCTACTTCTCTGTCCTCATCCTGGCTTTTGTCATACTTGTCAAGTACACCACTTGTGTTAGTCAGCTTTTTGACACTGTGACAAAATACCTGAGAAAACCAACTTAGAAGGAGAATAATCAACAACTTATTTTAACTCATAGTTTTAGAGGTTTCAGTCCATGGCCAAGGGGTCTGGTTGCTTTTGGGCATGTGGCAAGGCAGCACATCATGGTAGGATGTACATAGTGGTGGAGCTAGATGCTCAGCTCATGGTGACTAGAAAGTAAAAAAGAGAGAAAGAGGAAGGACTGGTTCCCACAGTACCCTTCAAGGGCCATTGCCTAAGATCTTCCAGAAGGCTCTACATCTTAGTTTATACCTCCCAAAAGTGTCGAGCTGGCTGGGGACTAAGCCTTAAACACAGGTCTTTGTGGGACATTTAAGATCCAAACCACAGCACCACTGCCTCAGAGCCTTCTCACTGGCTGTTTCCTTTGTGTGGAATGCTCTTCCCCAAGATACCTACTTGGCTTTCTTTCGCAAGTGCTCTACTACTTGAGTCACTTCGCCAGCCCCACCTTCAAAGTTGTATGCAAATGTCACCACTTCAGTGTGCCCTCTGTTTTAAATTTCAACTCCCCATTCTATCTCTACTCTGTTTTTTGTTTCCCTAAAACACTTGTATCCCTGAAATACTAAATAATTATTTAATGATTTTGTTTTTTGACTGTCTCCTTCCCTTGGAACGTAAGTTCCACAGACCAGAGATTTTCTTTGTATTTTTTTTTTTTTCATTTTTACTGGGGTTTGAACTCAGCTCAAACCCCAGCTGCAAGGCAGGTGTTCTACCCCCAGCCCTTTTAGTTATTGTTTTGGGTAGGGTCTTCCATTTTTGTCTTGGGTTGGCCTCTCCTACCTGTGGCCTCCTGCATGGCTGAGGCCATGGGCACATGACACCATGTCCATTTTTGTCTGCCTGTTTATTGCTGTATCCTAAGCAATTACAGAAGTGCTCAGCACATAGTAGTCACTCAACAAATTTATTGAGTGAACAAATGTACCAAAACAGAGCATTATGCCCAACTACCTCTTAGATCAGAGGGGAAAACAGGCCAAAGAAGAAAAGTGACTTCTCTAAGGTTGTAGAGAAAGTCAATGGCAGAACTAGGACTAGGACTCTGTCCTGATGACCCTCAGGCCAGCATGCTTCCCACACACTCATTTTTCACAGGATGTAAATATCCCACAAGACTAAATGTGTTATTTCTCCTAAGACTAGTAGTACTTTTGTAGTTAAGGTATCTCTACCCAAAGTATGACTCAAATGGTGGCCAGGTGATTAAGGGAGGCTATTTGGAAGTAGGGAGCCTTGGTGGAAGCCCTAAATCATACCTTGGCCCACACTGCCTTATGGGTAAAGCTCACTCTAGAGAAAATGGCTCACTAGTGGCCAGACCAGGCAGCCCTCAGGAAGAATCCCTCTTCTAGAGGATAAGGGGTCCAATAAAGTCTAGCTGTGTTGCCTGTGCTGGTCTTGAGCTCCTAGGCTCAAGTGATTCTCCTCCCTCAACCTCCTAATTAGCTGGGACTGTAGGCATGTGCCACCACAGCTGGCTCCTAACGTTTTACATGGAAGAGGCTCCTAACCACAAATGTAATGACTCTACACTGCCTGACCCAGTCCTACCTGAGTCCCCAGGATTCACCCACTGTCTCCTCTTCATAATAATGCTACAATCAATGCCTGTAACTCAGGAGAGAGAGCAGAGTACTTTGCATTCATTCTCATTAGATTTTAGTGTCAGACTTGTGAGGGAGACTGCTTCCCATTACAGGGAAGGCGGCAGAGACCAGGGGCTGGTGCAGCTGAGTCACAAATGCCCACTGTTCAGGCCTCCTGACTCCACACATAGTATTCCTGTCTCCTGACTTTATGATGTTGCTTTTCTTCCTCCCCCTCCTCCTCCTTCCTGATCCTCTTTCTTCTCCTCACAGTACTGGGGATTGAACTCAGGGCCTCACGTTAGCTAGGTAGGTGCTCTACCACTTGAGCCACATCCCTAACTCCGTCTCTCTTCTGAATATAGTGGTTTTCAATTTTTATGCCTTTTTATGACTTCGGAAGGCCTTCTTCAGAGAATATTTAAAATTATTTTCTTCTAGCCTCAGGTTTCAGTGTTTGTGTTTAAATCCTTGGCTTATCTGAAGTTTAGTTTGGTTTAAGTGTGTAGTAGGAATCCATATATATATATATGTAATTTTTTCAGATGGCTAAGCACTTGCCTGTGCATATGTGGAAGTTTATTTAAAGGCTATATCATATAGAAGGAAAATCCAGCCTTTCTATCAGTACTTGAAATGCCACTCTATTAAATTCCTGATTTATTTGGGTCTATTTTTTGAAGTAGTCCATGGATATGTCTGTATATGAAGGGTTAGAATTTAATGAAAAAGAAGAAAAAGAAACTATAGTAACAAAATAGGATGTGATAGGAATAGTATGCCGACTTGAAAATGAACCAAATAGAGCTTTGATATTATTCATTGATATTAAAAACTCAGTGGGATCAGGGGTAAAGCTCAGTGGTAGAGCACTTGCCTAGCATTCGTGAGTCATTGGGTTTGATCCCCAGTATCGCAAAAACAACAAAACCACTAATGCTTAAGTTCTTTTGTTGCCTTGTTTTTCTGCGACAGGATTTCCTTACATTGCCCAGGCTGTCCTGAGACAAATGGGCTCAAGTGATCCTCCACCTTAGTCTCCTAATGCTGGGACTACAAGTCTATGCCACCATACCAGTTTAGTGATGTTAAACAGTAGGCAACACCTGAGTTCCAGATTATTCTTAGCATCATGAACCACCAGACATTATGTACCCCTAGTTACACAGCATTCATTAAAATTTTTTCTGAACCTGAACTGGATCAAACTTCAAGTTCTAATGTCCAGTTTTGTGGGTAACATATTAAATGATACCTGGGGGAAAGTATCAGTAAAATCCAGACTCTGCAAAACTACAGAGTAAACAAACTAGTTACATTAATAAACAAATTGCAAGGGAAAAAATAA